CAGTGAGAGGATCAGACAAAATCGGCATGGATTTACAAAAGGGAAGTTGTGCTTGACAAATCTATTGGAATTTTTCAAGGATGTGACTTGTAGTGTTGATAAGACGGAGCTGGTGAATGTGGTTTACTTGGATTTTCAGTAAAGTCCCACATAAGACAGTAGCATGTAAACAAAGAACAAAGAACAAAGAAAATTACAGCACAGGAACAGGCCCTTCGGCCCCCCAAGCCTGCTGAGATCCTGATCCTCTATCTAAACCTGTCACCTATTTTCCAAGGATCTGTATCCCTCTGCTCCCTGCCCATTCATGTATCTGTCTACATACATCTTAAATGACGCTATCGTGCCCGCCTCTACCACCTCCGCTGGCAACGTGTTCCAGGCACCTACCACCCTCTGCGTAAAGAATTTTCCACGCGTATCTCCCTTAAACTTTTCCCCTCTCACCTTGAACTCGTGACCCCTAGTAATTAAGTCCCCCACTCTGGGGAAAAAGCTTCTTGCTATCCACCCTGTCTATACCTCTCATGATTTTGTAGACCTCAATCAGGTCCCCCCTCAACCCCCGTCTTTCTAATGTAAATAATCCTAACCTACTCAACCTCTTTTCATGTAAAATTAAAGCACATAGAATGGGGATAATGCACTAACACAGGTAGGGAATCGTTTGGTAGAAAAGAAACAAAGAGTAGCAATATTATGGGGGGGGTGTGCGGAAGAACATGGAATACAAAAAGAAGGATACGACTTTAAAGGAGACTCAAAAGCAAAGGGAAATGGGAGCATCTGTGCATCAGTCATTAAAGGTGAAAGGATAAGGGAGAGAGACCAGTTATTAAAGCACACTGTATCCTTGGCTTTAATCAATGAGAACACAGAGCACCAGAACACATAAGTAATAGTAAACGTGTATAAGAACGAGTTTGGCCTCAGCTGGAGTACTGTGTTCAATTCTGAGCCTTGCACTTTATGAAGGATATTAAGGTACTGGAGAGGGGTGGCATAGTGGCTCAGTGGTTAGCACTGCTGCCTCACAGTGCCAGGGACCCGGGTTTGATTCCAGCCTCAGGCGACTGTCCAAGTGGAGTTTGCACATTCTCCCCATGTCTGTGCGGGTTTCCTCCGGGTGCTCCAGTTTCCTCCCACAATCCAAAGATGTGCAGGCTAGGTGGATTGGCTATGCTAGTTTGCCCATAGTGTTCAGGGATGTTTAGGTTGGGTTAGACAAGGGAAATGCTGGAGTTTTGGGTCTGGGTGGGGTGCTCTTCAGAGGGGCAGTGTGGACTTGTTGGGCTGAATGGCCTGTTTCCACACTGTAGGGATTCTATGAATTCTTTCTATGAAAAAAGAGAGAGAGCAGAAAAGATTCACAAGAGTGGCCAAGGATGGGAATGTTCAGTTATGAAGATAAATTGGAGAAGTTAGAATCTTTCTCTTTAGAGAAAGTGTCAAGAAGAGATTGATCAAGGTGTTGATATTCATGAGAGGGCTAGATAGAGGAGAAGGGTGAAACTTTTCCCACTGATCGATGCTTTGAGAACAAAATGCTTTTCAGGTAATCATCAATAAAACAACGGCACACAAGGGGAAACCTTTTCGCATGGTCAGAGAGTTTGGATCTGGAATAGACTGTCTGACAGTGTAGTGGAAGGAGCTTCGCAGAATTAGTTAGAATCTTAGAAAATAGGAGGAGTTGGGCATTCAGCCATTCAATACAATCATGTCTGATCATCCAATTCCATTGCCTGTTCCCACTTTCTCCCCATACCCTTTGATCCCTTTAGCTTTAAGAACTGTATCCAATTCATTCTTCAAAACGTTCAATGTTTTGGCCTCTTTGTCTTCCTCTGCCAATGAATTCCACAGGCTCACTGCTCTCTGGGTGAAGAAATCTCTCCTCATCTCAGTCCCCACCCATATCCTTAAACTGTGATCCCTGGTTCTGGACTCTCCTGTTACCAGAAGATCCTTCCTACATTTGACCTGTTTATTCCTGTTGGAATTTTATAAGATCTGTGTGATTCCCCCTTCATTTTTCTGAACTCCAATGAATACAGTCCTAATCAATCTAGTTTCCTTACATATGCCAGTCCTTCCATCCCAGGGATCAGTCTGTAAACTTTCACTAACCTCCCTCAATGGCCAGAACATCCTTCCTCAGCTAAGGAGAACAAAACTGCACATAATACTCCAAGTGTGGTCTCACCAAGGTCCTATACAATTGCAGAATCACATCCCCATTCCTGTATTCAAATTCTCTTGCAAAAGTCCACATACCATTTGCCTCTTTTCTGTATGCTGTGCTTGCATGCTTACTTTCAGCTACTGGTGTATAAGGACACCAGGTCTTGATGCAACTTCTCTTTTTCCAATCTATCACCATTCAATATAAACCTGTTTTGGCTACCAAAGTGTATATCCTTAGATTTATCCGTATTATACCTCATCTGCCAAGCATTTGCCCACTCATTCAACTTGTCCAAATGTCACTGAAGCATCCCTGCATCCTCCTTGCAGCTCACCCTCCCAAGCAGCTTTGTGTCATATGCAAACTTGGAGGTATCCCATTTCGTTCCCACACATAAAACATTAATATATATTTGATTTGATTAGTTACTGTCACAATGGATGAATTAAAAAATTGAATTTTAGTCAAGAATAAAAGAGAATCTTACTTTACATATAGACAACTTGATTCAGTTGAATCTCAGGTAATCATAAAACTCCAGGTGTGGGAGAGGATAGGGGGATGGATCTGGGTGGGATGCTCTTCAGAGGTGTGGACTTGTTGGGCCGAATGGCCTGTTTCCACACTGTAGGGATTCTATGATTCTTAATCAATATAAAGAGTGTAGGGGCATTCTTAAGAAAGAAATCAGGAAGGCAAACAGAGGATATGAGAAAGCATTGGCAGATAAGGTTAAGGAAAATACATTAAGAACAAGAGGGTAACTACAGAGAGGGTAAAGCCCCTTAAAGATCAAGGAGGTTGTCTTCGTGTTGAACCCCAGGAGGTGGGAGATATACCAAATCAATATTTCGCGTTAGTTTTTACTGTGGAGAAATAAATTGGGATTAGAGAACGCAGAGAAATAACCGTTTTAAAAACAGCTCACATTACAGAAGAGGAAGGTCAGGAGGTCTTAGAGAATATAAAAATGGATAAATGTCCGAGACCTAATCTAATGTACCCTAGAACATTGTGGGAAGTAAGAGAGAAATTGTGAGACCCCTTGCAGAAATTTTTTTGTTTGCATCATCTATAACTACAGGTGAGGTGCCTGATGACTGGAGGCTGGCTAATGTTTAAAAAAGGTTGTAAGGAGAAACTGGGGAACTACAGACCTGTGAGTCTGACTTCCGGTTGTGGGTAAATTGTTGGAGGTAATATAAAAGGTAGGATTTATGTTCATTTAGAGAGGCAAAAATTGATAGTCAGCATGGTTTTGTGTGAGGAAAACTGTGTCTCACAAACTTGATTGAGTTTTTTTGAGAAAGTTACCAAAAAGATTAATGAGGGCAGAGCAATAGACAAGATTCCGCATGTTAGACTAATTAATAAAGTTAGGTCACTTGGGATTCAGGGTGAACTTGCCAATTGTTTACATAATTGGCTAAACAGTAGGAGACAGAGAGTGATGCTGTAGGGTTGCTTTTCAGACTGGAGGCCTGTCACCAGCAGTGTTCTACAGGGATCGGTTCTGGGTCCTCTTTTGTTTGTCATTTATATAAATGATTTGGATGAGAATAAAGAAGGCATTGTTAATAGTTTGAGGACAACATTAAAATTGGTGGCATTGTAGATGGTGTGGAAGGTTTTCTAAGATTACAAACGGATCTTGATCAAAAGGATCAATGGGCTGAAAAATAGCAGATGGAGTTCAAAATGGATAAGTGCAAGGTATTGCATTTTGGTACAACAAACAAGGGATAGGGCTTATACAATTAATAGTAGGGCCTCGGATAGTGTTGTAGCACAGAGGGACCTAGGAGTTCAGGTGCATAATACTTTGAAGTTTGCGTCACATATAGACAAGATTGTTAGAAAGGCTTTTGGCACGCTTGCCTTCATTTCTCAGTTCTTTTGAGCATAGGAGTTGAGAAGTCATGTTGAGGTTGTATAGGACATTGGTGAGGCCTCTTCTGGAATACTGTGTCCAGTTCTGGTCACTCAGTTATAGGAAGGATGTTGTTAAGCTGGAGAGAGTTCAGAAGAGATTTACCAGGATGTTGCCGGGTACAGAAGATTTGAGTTAAAAAGAAAAGCTGGATAGGCTGGGACTTTTTCCACTGGAGCATAGGAGGTTGACAGGCAACCTTATAGAAGTTTATAAAATAATCATGGGTATAAATAGAGTTAATGGTAATTGTATTTTCCCTCGGGTGGGGGATTTCAAGACTAGGGGGTATATTTATAAGGTGAGAGGGAAGAGATTTAAAAAAGATATGAGGGGCAAATTTTTTTACACAGAGGGTGGTTCACATGTGGAATGAACATCCTGAGGAGGTGGTGGATGTGGGTACATTACAACATTTAAAAGACATTTGGATAAGTACATGAATACAAAAGGCTTGGAGGTACATGGGCCAGGAGCAGGCAGGGACTACTTTAGTTTGGGATAATGTTCAGCATGGACTGGTTGGACTGAAGAGTCTGTTTCCGTGCTGTATGAATCTATGACCAGTCTGCACAGTTCATCAGGTGATCTATATCCTTTTGAAGTCCTGCAATATCTTCTTCATAGGTTACAATGCTTAAAAGTAACCATTGAAGTTGTGCCCTGTACACCAAGGTCCAAATCATTAATATCTAACAGGAGAAGCAAGGATCCGAACAATGACACCTGGAGAACCCAGCTATAAACCTTCCCCCAAGCCCAAAAAAGATCCTTTAACAATTGCTCTCCATTTCCTGTCACTCAGCAAACTCCATATCCATGTTGCTACTGTTTCTATGAATTTTTCATTTGCTTATTCAATCCTCTGCTTTGTCTGCTCACCACTTTGTTTAAACTTTGGTGATCTTGGAATAACCGCAGTTTCTGATCCTGGCAGGTTCTTTTGCTCTCCGGTATTATACAAGTGCCGCACCTGGTAATAAGGAGATACAGTCAGGGCCTCTGCATCATAGGAGCCTTCAGCAGAGATAAAATAAAAACCATGACAATATTTGTGTCTACAACATTCCAGAGGGCAGGTTCATATTAACACCGAACAGGACAGAATGGTACAAAGTGCGAGCTACTTTGTGCCAGGGTCAAGGGGCAGGAGTTTAGACAGGGTCAGGGGCGCGAGTTTAGACAGGATCAGGGGGTATTTGGACAGCATCGGTGGGGGTGGGGTGGAGTTTGGACAACGTCGGGGGGGAGTTTGGACATGGTCAGGGGGTGTTTAGACAGGGTCGGAGGGTGGTTAGACAGGGTCGGAGGGTGTTTAGACAGGGTCGGAGGGTGGTTAGACAGGGTCGGAGGGTGGTTAGACAGGGTCGGAGGCATTTTGATGAGGCTGGTTGGGAGTTTAGTCAAGGTTGGAGGGAGGTGGCGCTTTTTGTTTTGCTGGTGCAAGTAGGTGAAGACACTCACCTGATTTTCATCTAGCACGTGAATGTTGACCTTGGGGTAGCGAGTGACAGGGTCAATACTGTAGAGGTTGTAGTTCTTGCTGATGTTCGATGGTGTGGTCTGAGGCAGTAACCTGTAAATACTTTCCCTGAAAATGAGTTAAAATAGAAGAATAACTTGCATTTAAATAGCGCTTCTCATAACCACTAAATATTTTCAAATGCCTTGTAGCCAATGAAATATGCTTGAAGTAAAGTCACTGTGGTAATGTTGGAAACTCAACAGCCAATAGACAAACAGCAACAGGATAATGACCAGATCACCTGCTTTTTATGATGCTGCTTCCGATCTGAGTACTGGACAGCAGAATGTGGAGAACTTTGCTATGCCACAGATCCTTGAAGGCAGGAGGACAGGATAATAGGTTAGTTAAGAATGCATATGGAGTGCTAGTCGTGATCAATCGAGGCTTAGGTTATAAAAGCAGGAAGATTATGTTGGAAGATTATGTTCTGAGGAAGGGTCACCGGACCCGAAACGTTAACTCTGTTTTCTCCTCCACAGATGCTGCCAGACCTGCTGAGCTTTTCCAGCAACTTTGTTTTTGTTCAAGATTATGTTGGAGCTGTACAGGACTTTGTTTAGGTCACAGCTGGAGTACTGCGTGCAGTTCTGGTAATCACCATTATAGGAAGGATGTGATTGCACAGGAGGAGGTGCAGAGGAGATTCACCAGAATCAGAAGAGTCCAGACCCGAAACATCAGCTTTCCTGCTCCTCTGATGCTGCTTGGCCTGCTGTGTTCATTCAGCTCTACACCTTGTTATCCCAGATTCACCAGGATGTTGCCTGGGATGGCACATTTCAGCTTTGAAGAAAGACTGGATAATCTTGGGTTATTTTCTTTAGGAGACCTGATAGAAGTGTATAAGATTATGAGGGGCATGGACAGGGTAAACAGAAGGCAGCTGTTCCCCTTCGTGAAAGAGGGCATGATTTTAAACGGAAAGGCAGGAGATTTAGAGGTGATTTGAGGGAAACCTTTTTCACCAGTGGGTAGTGGAAATCTGGAATGGTGTTGGTTGAGACTGGAAACCTCACATTCTTTAAAAAAGTACTTGGATGAGCACTTGAAGTGCCATAACATTCAAGGTTATGAGCCCAGTGTAAGGAAGTGGGACTGATGTAGATAGTATATATATTTTGGTGATAAATACGTGATGGACTGAAGGGTCTCTTCTGTACTTTATGATTTTTTGATTCTATGAACCTCCCTCCTCTTTCTCAAAATAGTGCCACAGAATCTTTTACATCTTCCCATGTTGGTGGAAGGTTCTCTGTTCAATTTCTTGTCTGTCAGCAGTACCTCCAACAACACAACAATGTTACTGTAGTATATTGGCACTGAACCTATGACTCAGAAGAGAGATTGATTGATTACTTTATTGTTGCCTCATGTACCGAGATGCAGCGAAAAGTGCTGTACAGGCAGATTGTATAAAGTAAATAAGGCTGCAGAACAGACTGCAGAATACATTGTTACAGCCACAGAGAAGATAGAGAGAGAGGGAGGGAGAGAGGGGGAGAGAGAGAGAGAGAGAGAGAGAGAGACAGACAGACAGACAGACAGACAGACAGAGAGACCAGAATTAACATTTGAGACGTCCGTTAAAAAGTCTGATAACAGGAGGGAAGAAGCTGTTCTTGAACCTTGAATCAAATCTTTAAATCTTCTGCCCAACAGAAGAGGTTGAAAGACTGTATAACCAGGATGGGAGGGGTCTTCGATTATGTTGGTTGCTTTGCTTTCCCGTGTCAGTGGGAAGTATAGATGAAGTCAGTGGATAGAAAGCTGGTGATGGATTGTGAGAGGAGATATAGTGGGGACAGCCGATGTCAGAGAATCTGAGATAACAAGGTGTAGAGCTAGACGAACACAGCAGGCCAAGCAGCATCAGAGAAGCAGGAAAGCTGACTTTTTGGGTCTGACGTTTGGAGGAGGGGAAGGAGGTTCTGAAATAAATAGGGAGAGAGGGGGAGGTGGATAGAAGATGGACAAAGGAGAAGATAGGTGGAGAGGAGACAGACAGGTCAAAGAGGCAGGGATGCAACCAGTAAAGGTGAGTGTAGGTGGGGAGGTAGGGAGGGGATAGGTCAGTCCAGGAAGGACAGACAGGTCAAGGAGGCGGGATGGGGCTGGTAGGTAGGAGATGGGGGTAGGGCTTGAGGTAGGAGGAGTGGATAGGTGGGAGGAAGGACAAATTAGGGAGGCGGGGATGAGCTGGGCTGGTTTTGGGATGCGGTCGGGGGAGGGGAGATTTTGAAGCTTGTGAAGTCCACATTGATACCATTGGGCTGAAGGGTTCCCAAGCGAAATATGAGGTGCTGTTCCTGCAACCTTCGGGTGGCATCATTGTGGCACTCTCGGAGGCCCAGGATGGACATGCCGTCCAAGGAGTGGGAGGGGGAGTTGAAATGGTTTGCGACTCGGAGGTGCAGTCGTTTGTCGCGAACTGAGCGTAGGTGTTCTGCAAAGAGGTCCCCAAGCCTCCGCTTGGTTTCCCCGATGTAGAGGAGGTCACATCGGGAACAGCAGATACAGTATACCACATTAGCAGATGTGCAGGTGAACATCTGTTTGATGTGGAAGGTCTTCTTGGGGCCTGGGATGGGGGTGAAGGGGGAGGTGTAGAGGCAGGTGTAGCACTTCCTGCGGTTGCAGGGCAAAGTGCGGGGGTGGTGGGGTTGGTGGGGAGTGTGGAGCAGACAAGGGAGTCACGGAGAGAGTGGTCCCTCCGGAAAGCAGATAAGGATGGGGAGGAAAATATGTCTTTGGTAGTGAGGTCAGATTGCAGATGGCGGAAGTGCCGGAGGATGTTCACAGCTCTTTATAGTTTCTTGAGGTCTTGGGAACAGCAGTTGCCATACCATGTTGTGATGCATCCAGATAGGATACTTTCTATGGGGCATCTGTAAAAGTTGGTAAGAGTCCTTGTGGTCATGCCAAAACTTCTTAGCCTCCTGAGGAAGTAGAAATGTTGTTGTGCTTTCTTGACCATTGCGTCATCGTGGGTGGACCAGGATGCACTGTTGGTGATCATCATTCCCAGGAACTTGATGCTCTCAACGATCACCACCTCAGCACCGCTGATGCAGACAGCGGCATGCCCTCCACTCTGCTTCCTGAAGTCCATGACCAGCTCCTTTGTTTTGCTGACGTTCATGGAAAGATTGTTGTCTTTACACCATGCTGCTAAGCACTCAATCTCTTTTCTGTACTCTGTCTCGTCATTGTTTAAGATCCAACCTACAATGGTGGTGTCGTCAGCAAACTTGTCAATGGAGCTGGTGTGCAATTTGGCCAGAGAGTCATAAGGAACACAGTAAGGGGCTGAGTACACAGCCTGGCAGGGCACCGGTGTTGAGCATTATTGTGGATGAGGTGTTGTCGCATCTGTATTCTTACTGATTGTGGTCGAGAAAGAACTAGACACGGAGTTCAAAGCCTCATGCATTAATCAGGGGCTGCACACGCCCTGTTTTGAGAAGAGGGTAAAGTCATTACACCCTACCCCCCACCCCGACACTAAGAATTCAGCTATACACAAAAAGCTGCAGGTACCTCCATAATCTGAGTTGAATAGGAAGGTGGTAGTACCACACTGTTGATTGGCTGCATGCCAGTTTAGAAATGGAAGCCTCAAAATTGGAGTTGATAATAACCTACGCATGTTGGCTGTGTGTACTGGTTCATCTAGAACTTGCCACTGAACTCCATCACACAGCTAACCAAAAGCATTCAACATGTCACCAAACATCATCTTCTACCATAGAGATAACAAGGTGTAGAGCTGGATGAACACAGCAGGCCAAGCAGCATCAGAGGAGCAGGAAAGCTGACGTTTCAGGCCTAGACCCTTCTTC